CAACATGTGTACTACTGTTTCATGAGAAACTATTTGTTCTGTAAGCCTTCACCTGAAGTACAATAAAATATTTTAAAAAAAGAAAAAAAAAAAAGAAAAGAAATAAGGACACAGTCCTTTTGCCTTAAACTCCACCTTCAGAGCAACCTGAACACAGACCTGTGTGTGTAGTAGAAAGTTTACAGAAAGTTTATGCATTACTGGGGGGATCATACTGTTTAATGTCCATATTCGTCCTCAGAGGCCAGGCTGCCCCATGGAGTGCTGCAGCTCTCACAACTTTTCCATCGCTTCTCTCTCTGCCTCCATTACTTCCTGTTATAGATTGTATTGTGTCCTCCGAAGTTTGTATCAACTTGGCTAGGCCATGATTCCCAGTATTGTGTGGTTGTCCACTACTTCGTGAACTGATGTAATTACCCTATGTGTTGTAAGTCCTAACCTCTACGATATTAATGAGGCAGGATTCGAGGCAGTTATGTTAATGAGGCAGGACTCAATCTACAGGATTAGGTTGTATCTTGAGGTATAAAAGAGAGAATCAGGTAAAGAGGAGAGGGGCCTCATGCCACCAAAATAAAAGCACTGGGAGCAGAACATGTCCTTTGGACTCAGGGTTCCTGCACTAAGAAGCTGGTAGACCAGGGGAAGAGTGATGACAAGGACCTTCCCCCAGAAATGACAGAGAGAGAAAGCCTTCCCCAGGAGCTAGTGCCCTGAATTCGAATGTCTAGATTTCTAAGCTGTGAGAGAATAAACTTCTGTTTGTTAAAGCCACCCACTTGTGGTATTTCTGTTATAGCAACATGAGATAACTAAGATAACTTCTTTCCTTTTCCTTCTCCTGATGTCCTCACAGGAGCAAAGAAAACTAACTTCCCTGCATTTTCTTATACAGAGCACCTTACTTACATATTTTTAGTGCTAGAGTTCCTGCCAACATCAAGACCGTAGTGTCTCATGTTCCCTAGAGCCTTATTAAGAAAAAGCAGTTCTCCCTAAAAGGGATTTGGATGCCAACTATTAAGATAATCAACTTTAAAAAAAAAAACGAAAACCTATTACCCTACTGTTATCATCATCATGACTACTACTGCTATTACAATGACTAGTGCTAGAAACACTACTACCAGCTCTGTCACTTGGGCCAAGCTTCATACCAGGATGCTGAGTAAAGCTGAGTTCCAACTAAAACCCTTTCAGAGTCACGTGAGGAAAGCTGAATCTCATGCAATGCCAAGGGCCCACTAGAAGATCTGACAAGACCACCAAGGCCAAAAGGAAGAGAAGATCTCATTATTTTTCCCAGTTATTTCCCTGTCCTTTGTCATGGGCTATGGGTTGTTTTGATAATGACAGATTTGCTTTCCTGGATGGGACATGTGAACAGAAGGGAAAAACCAAGAAAGGGAAATTTTAAAAGCTTTTTGGAGAAAAGAGGAAGTGAAGAGATGAGTTAGCTGTCAGGAAATAGGAACTTTGAGGAGAGAAGAATAAATGTCTGAAGGATAACTTAATTAATTTTCCACAGTATGATTTGAATCTGAAGCCTCTTTCTTGTGGCATCTATTTCTCATTAAATTGTTATGGGGCTGGTCTGTTTCGGAAATGTGTAAAGGAACAGAATACAGTCTCTGGGAGGTCAAGGAGTGACAGTGAGGGCCACATGTGGGAGGCATGTGGCCCTCAGGTGGCAGATTTTTCCTATCTGAGCTGCATCATAAGTTAGATCTTAATTAGGTGAAATATATCTGCAGGAAATGAACATAATATAACACAGGCACGTTAATCTCTGGCAAACAAATCCAGAGGAATGGACAATTCCATGTCCCTTGGATTCATGATTTCATGAAGGTCAGTAATCCGGGTTATTAGAGAAAGGAGTTATTTCATTTAATCTGCAGTACAACTATGTGAGGTAGCTAAAGGTATCCCTGTTCCATAAATAAACTTGAAGTTTAGAGAGGGTGATGGCTCACCTGTATCCCACCATAGAAGTAGAGGCAGGATTCCAACTAGGTGCATCTCACTACCAAACCCATGTCCTTCCACCTCACTATGACAGAGGTGCGGGTAGCAGAACTGACAGCCTGTGATGAAAATATAAGAGCTGTGTTCCTGTTTTGACACAAATGAAAGACCCTAATCTCAGGGTTGCTTTAGCTCAAGCCTTTGTGTAAGACCCAGAATCCTACACAAAAGGCAAAATTTGGATGAAAAAAGTATATTTAAAGTTCAGTTCACAAAGCAACTTCATACCTGATTCAGTCCTTTAAGGTCTGCATCATGACATGATTCCTAAAATCACATAGTGGCTTTAGGGTTTGAACAAAAGACTATTTTTTTAAGTCTATACAAGTTTTACTCCTAAGAAGTAGCATCCACTTGGGTTCCTTGGCCCTGATAATTTGGTTGAATAAGCTCTTGCAGTCAAGGCTGCCATGTGAGACTGTGCAGGCTGTACACTGTACAACTCCAGTTGTACATGAATGTGAATGGCACACCCAAGAAGTATAGTGCACAACATGGAGAACTTCTTGCAGCAGCTCTTGCTATAATGCAGAATCTGAGGTGGCTTTGAGAAAGGAAAACATAATCATTACCCCCCCAAATTCATTTTCATAATATGTATGAACTTTGTACGAAAGCGGAATAGGCCATAGGGCAATTTCCAACTAGTTTCTATTCTAGGACCCTATCTCTCATCCCTCAACAATAGGGAGTGTTTGTTTAGGTCATCACATGATGTGGAAAGAGTCTGCTGCTGCAAGTACACTGTATGTTCTTTCTGGTGTATTTGAACACGCATTTTCTTGAGTGTCAAGTAATGAGCTAGACACTCCAGGGATGTGACACAGTCTATGCCCATACACAGTATACAATCTCACTGGGGAGAAAACGCAGATACACATGCACCCACATACAAACACACACACATACATATATATATATATATATGACAATTTTAAAAATAACAAACTAAGCAACATTAAAAAAAAAGGTGTCATTTAAGTGTAAAATTGTTTATGTCACAGACTAAACTTGCTGTGAGAGGCCAGAAAGAGGAGACTGTCATGGGCTGCACTAGTTAAGGATTTATGAAGGGCGGGGATGCCTGAGATGAACCTTAAAGAATAGATATAATCTAGGTGGGTGAATAAGAGGTTTGGGGGGCGAGGAGGGGGGAGCATTTCAGCAGGAGTCAAAGAATATTTCTACTTATTTTAACTCTTCTCTATAACATCAAAGAGATGTCACCTGCAGCTAGCATTCTAATGTTGATGATATTTCTTTGTTAATACTATAAACACCAGTTGCAGTCAAGTCAATTTCAACTCAATATGTGTCAGAGTAGAACTGTGCTCCATAAGGTTTTCAGTGGCTGATTTTTTGGAAGTAGTTCACCAGACCTTTTTCTGAGGCATCTGTCTAGCGGTGGACTCAACCCTCCAACCTTTCAGTTAGAAGCCAAATGTATTAACCGTTTGCACCATCCGGGGCTCTGATAACCCATTGCTGTGGAATCAGTTCCAACTCATAATGACCCTATAGGACAGAGTAGAACTGCCCCATAGGGTTTCCAAGCATCGGCTGGTGGATTTGAACTGCAACCTTTTGGTTAGCAGCTGAGCTCTTAACCACCGTGTCACCAGGGTGCCAATTAACAACATAGTGGTCATAAAAGAAGCATTGAAGATAAGCAATCTGGAAGAGTCTAACATAAAAAGACAACAAAATGAAAAGCTAAAAAACAGTACAGGCTATTTTTCTTTTCTGCCCTTTTGTTTGGTGCTCATCAGATGCTGTATCTGTGTGGAAGTCAGCCAACTGAGAAGGGGAGAGGCTGAAGAAGGCAGGGAGCTTGTGTGGTTAAATGCAATGGTCTTTATTTACACAAGGTGATGCTACAGTGCAAATAGGACCTTTATTGGCTGGTGTCCAACTTTACAGAACCTCATTATTGCACTGGAGGTGGAAAGCAAAGATAATACCAATTTTATAAACTGTAAGGGAGTAGTATACTATACTGCCACAGTGTACCACAGGCAAAACCAAAAAACCATACTCACTGCCGTTGAGTTGACTCATGGCCATCCCAAGTGTTACAGAGTAGAACTGCTCCATATACATATATATATATTTTCTGTAATCTTTATGGAAGCAAATCACCAGGTCTTTTCTTTCACAGAGCTGCTGGATGGGTTTGAACCACCAACCTTTAGATTAGCAGTCAATTGCAAACTGCTTGTGCCACCAAGGGATCCTGTGCTGTGGACAGAAGAGGTAAAATTTGATCTGCCACAAAACTGAGTCTGTAGTTATGTATGTAACTAATTTCCATTGTATTCAGAAGTGTATGTCAGCAGGTGTTAGCCCTGAACAGAAACAGAAGACAAGAGTCAAGAAAGAGAGCACAACTGGACATCTTTATATTTCACAGTAATATTTTTCCCCTGTGGCTTTATTTGTTTCTCCACGTGAAAGAAAATAAAAGACTAAGCTATATAAACCACACCTGTGAGCTGGAGGGAGGGGTGATGAGGGGCAAAATGGGAGTAGAAAGAGCTGCTGGTCAAGTAGAAATCTTTCTAGATGTACTGAAGGAAATACACTTCATCTTCAATGTAGGAGACACCGTCATGTGAAACTTTTCATGGAGGGATTTGAAGGATCCAATGGCTCTTTAGTATCCCAAGAATTTTCTTTCACAGATGGTCATTTAATATGGATCATTCATGCTGAATGAAAAACGAGAGATTATAAATTAAACTAAGGAGTTTAAAGTTTTAAAAAATTAAAGTGTTAGTAGTAAAGATAAATATTCACTAAAGGTGAGAAGAGGAGTGAAGGAAATGTCTTTCAGTTCGGTTGGACAAGACGTGGGACGTTTACTAAGGCAAAGGGATGGCAAGAGAACCCTAGAGCAGTGCTTCTCACACTCCCCTGGGTGGTGTGAAAATGCAGACTCTGATTCAGTGATTTGGGATTAGGGGAGAAGACTGAGATTTTGTATTTCTAGCAAGCTCCCCTGCGATGTTTATGTTTATGTTGCTAGTCTGCAGACCTCACTTTGAGAAATCTTTCAAGTACAGGCTTTGCCTCTAGATCTAATGGCTTTGAAGGACATTTTAGGTAGATTTTGAACAGTGGAAAGCCAGAGATGTAAACAAAGACACGTTCAAATGGGAAGAAAAATCAGTGAAAATCAAAACTCATGAACAGTGGTAGTTCTAAAGGCCTGATTCTGATGAGACAGGATTTAAGGAGACAGTGACAGATTTAGGTTCATAAAATAAATGACACTTTTTGTGACACAACTGTCTTGTATTCTTGGAAATGACAGGGGAGAGCCAAATATGGTATATTTTAATAGCACCTTTCAAAGGGAGAACTGAATTCTGAGACTTGGCTCTCATGATGAACTGCCAGGGTAAACCACAGTTCAGCAGCTACAGATGTGTTTGCCAGTATAGAGAAAAAAATTGTTTCAGAAGACAAAAATTCACATATACCCTCCTCTGAGGTTGGCATCGTGTCTTCCTGTGTATCTTGGGTGTAGCTTTTACCCTAGCAGAATTTAGACACTAGAAACAAAATGAGATGATAAACAGAACCAGTTTGCAGAAGAGTCAAAATAACCTAGCTAGAGTTGAAACCACAAATGCCCAAGGAGTTAGTCGTTCATCAGACAAAAGCTTACATGAACAAGCACGTAGAACTATGAGAATTAGTTCAATTTAAAAAAAAACTGACACACGGTATTTAGTGTGATAGTGTTTTTTAACCTTTGGCTTGTTCTAGAAATATGCCCTACCTCTTCCACCCCACCCTTCTCAGTGCTATCACACAAAATGGTTTCAATCTGGGGGAAAAAAATCACATTATGTGGGAACAGGGTATCTAGGACTTACAACTCTAACTTGGGAGTCAAGAGTCTTGAGTTCTAGAAGCATAGGGGTTAAGAGCATGATCTCTGGATCCAGAGGGGTTTAAATCTCAGCTCTGCCATTTATTCAATGATATAGGGCTAGCTATTTCATTTCTCTGTGCCTCTGTTTCTTTATCTGTAAAATGGGGATATTAATAGAACCTACCCCACCAGCTTGTAGGCAATAGTTAAGGATTTAAGACATGTAAAACACTTAGAACAGTGCCCAGCATGGAATAAATTTTTGATAACTATTTCTTATTATCAACTAGCTCTGTCATTATCTCAAGGCCTCTAAGAAAATTATTTAATCAGCACAACTATAAAAAGAATTTGAATATGATGTCTACCAAGACCCTCTCCAGACCTAAAATTCTTTGATTTTATGAATTAATGTCACCTTAGTCAATGAATGAGAAATGTCCAAAGGCAGCTAGGCAAATAACTCTTCTTTGCTAGTTCCTTCTAGCATGAAGAATTTCAAGCCCATGTTGATGGGGCCATCTCTCCCTTCCAACCTCTCTTCCTCAGCGCCTCCATACACCGTGGTCTCTAGACAGTTGTACCACTGGCCCCTGAACATTCCTCTTATAGTCCCACCACCATAATTTGTTTACACCATTTCCCTCCTCTAGACTGCCTTCGCTGCTTCTCTCCACACACCTGAATCCTATCCATCTTTCAAAAACTAACCCAAGTTCCACTTGCTTTATAAGATCTTCTGGATCATCAAGCCAAAATGATCTTTGCTTTTCTCCAGTACAGAAGTCATCGGCCTTTACCATACTCTGCCTTGTATTGCTCTAAGTTTTTTCCTATCTTTCTGTCTTTACTCCCCCAACAAAATAATAATCTTCTGAGGTCAGGGACAAGGACCTACTCCTCTTGATGTCCCAGTCAAACTTAGCATTGTTCCAACACAAAGGTGTTCAATAAACAACTATTGATTAATTCATTGTAAAAATCAGTGAACCATTAAACTTAATATGGCAATTAGCTTAATGTGGTAATTAACCTAATGTTAACTTAAACCTTTTCTTGACAGCATCTCTTCATGTCTCCCAAGGACATCTAATAACATTTGAATTAATCTGCTTCCATCTAGTGGCAATTAAAACACAAGTGGTTCCTGCTAGGGAACCAGATAATAGCTCTGGGTAGATTGTGCCAGAAAAGACTTTCACTCAGTGGGTGTGAGCATGAAAGAAATCTTTTTATCTTGTGGATTTCCTTTCCACAGAAAAAGGAAAGCCAGCCCAGAAAAGGGTCTAAGACCCCAACTGTACACTATTAAAGAGACAATAGTGTAATAAAATAAAATAGAATAAAAAAAAAAAAAAAACTCCACTGACCCTGTGCCTCATTCAATTACCCTCTAAATCTCTCCTTTCCTTTGTAGCCGAGTTTTTGAAAGAAGTGACTACTTGTTCTGCTTCTACTTTCTTCATCCTCGCTAGCCCCTGGCCATCTGACTTCTGTCATAGCCTCTCCACTGAAAATGGCCTCCCCTCTGATACCCTTGTTACATCAAGCAGAAACCGTCTGGCTCTCCTGGCAGCGATTGAAACCCTGTCCATTCCCTTCTTTCCTTAGCACTCATGAACCTATACTCTCCTCATTTTCCTTCTACCTCTCTGGCAGCCTATTCTCATTCTCCTTTTCCTTAGCCCACTTGTCACACACTAATGTTCCTCAGGTCCCACCCTCTCTCCTAGGTCCCTTTCCATCCTCACACTGGACACTGTGTCTGGACAACCATACCTACTCTTTTGGCAGCAGTTACTTCCTGTAATGTGAGGACACCCACACATCCTTCTCCTGCCCCAAAGTAACTCCTGTGCTGTGGATAGGCCCATGGACTACGGATGAACCACAAATGCCTGAAGTTCAACATGCACAAAACTGAACCCATGATACTCACCTCTAAAACTTCTTGTTCTTTTGTGATCCCATCCCAGTAAATGGCTCACCAGACCCCAGGTCAGAAATGTGGCAACTTCTCAACTCTTCTCTCCCTCTCAACCACATTCTGTTGATTCTGCCTCCTCTTACCTCACGAACCCATCCTCACTGCTATTCCTCTAGACAGGCACCATCAGCTTTAACCTAAATAACTTCAAATGCCTCCAAAACAGTTCTCCTTTCCTCTAGTCTCACCCACCTCCCACATATGCCATACAGAATCATTCTTATAAAATGTAAATTTCAGCATGACACTCACCTGCTTAAACCCCTTTAGTGATGCCCCAAAGATTTCAAGATAAGCCCATGCTCCTTAATATGGCTTATAAATTACTTCCTGATCTGGCCCCTGCTGCCTTAATTTTCCCATTTCTCTTCTGCAGGTTAAGCTGCAGCCCACTGGACTAAGAGCTGCTCAGCAAGAAGTATTTGGTTGGTTGGTTTTCAAGCACCCAGCCTCCTCAGGGACCATCTGGCTTCATTTCTAGCATTTTCAAACGAGCTCAGATGTCTAGCTGGGTATTTTGTATGTCACCAAAGTCTCATCTCCATAGTAATTTTTGCTAACACTATCATTCCTAAAACTTAAAAGCAAGTCACTAAACCCCAATTTTGCCATCTTCATTCCTGCCAGATGATACATTCACTTTCATACATTTACATCTTTTCTCAGCATGTGGTTTCTTTAATTGAAGAAATCTGAGCTTCAAGATCAAACTAAAAAATTGCCTCTTTGAGGAAGCCATAATAGTCCCTGAGTGGTACAAATGATTAAGTGCTTAACTACTAGCCGAAAGGTTGATGGTTTGAACCCATCCAGAGGATCCTCAGAAGATAGGCCTGTCGGTGATCTGCTTCCAAAAGCTCACATCCTTAAAAACCCTCTGGAGTACAGTTCTACTCTACACACATGGGTTTGCCATGAGTACAAACCCACTGGACAGTAACTAACAACAACAACATTGTCCACACTTCTGAAGGTCAATGCTCATCAGAGTGGTAGGTGTTTACCCTCTTGTTCTACACATTGAGGGTTTGGGGCCTGGAACTGTACCTTCTTCTTAGGGTCTGGAATACACTAGTTTCTCAATAAATCCTTGTGGAATTGAATGCTCCATTAATACTGTGTTTAGGTCCTTATGTTCAGCCAGGACAAGAAGAAAAACACCACAATCCTTCCAACCATCAAAGAAAATCCAGAGACAATTAGAACAGCTCCCTTTACATACACTGCCCTTTCCTACCAGGCATTACTTGTTCATTCATTTATTCAGCTCTACTAACACTAAAAAACCCGGTTTTTAAAGGAAACTAGTAGATTTAGCACTTTATCTGGAAACTTCATTTAGACAAAGACCTTAAAATGAACGTGGTAAAATGGTGCAAATGTGTCTAGCTATAACAGGAAGTATCATAAGGAAGGTAGAGAAGAGATCAACAGATGTAGAAATTCCTCTCTGATAAAACTTACCTTTGCCGAGACTTCTTGTCTGGAAAAAAAAAAGAGAGAGAAGAAAATTAAGAAATGGCATCAGCAAAAAAGAGGCAATTTCAATTTTTAAAGTAAGAGAGACAGGAGATTCCCACCTTCAAAACCATCTTTTGAAGTTTAACTTGCATTTGTTACGTAGACCCTATCTATGTCTATGGGGATATGAGGTTCTAATTCAAACAGCAGTAGATAGACAGAATAGACCCACTGATGCAGATACCTCTCAGAGTTCCACTCTGTGTGCTGCTCGTTAAGACAGAAGTCTAGGCTGAATTTTCTGGTGGTCAGACTCAATATGCCCATTTACTTGTTTAACCCTTCCTGACCTGCCATCTCATCCTACCTGCCAATTCTTCCCTAAGAGACTTAGCTGTTAAAACTGTAAGAATGTATGTCATTACATTCCCCTGCATCTTCCCTATGCGAATCCACAAGAATTTTACTCTGGCATCAGTGGTAGGAATAGTACAGCCTCATCTGGTAACTGATGTGTTTTTATCTTACAAACACAGTGAATACCCTCACGAGTTATGCTTCTCTTTTTCACTGGCTACAAGGAAACTCAGAGCCAGATCTGAGGCCCTCTCCTATTGAGTGTATAGGACTTTGTGACACAGGTTTTTGTATCCTAACTTCACTCCTGGCTCTAACTTATTTTTGTACCCTAAATTTTTACCTTCTTTTTCTTACATATTTTTAAACTAATTTTAATGTGCTATGTTGAATACATTTTCTAAACTGTCTTACATTCTTTTGGAAAAAAAAAAGTGTAAGCAAGTAGATGAATGAATTGCAGAGTTTGGCTCCAGAAGAAATAAAAGCAAAAAAAGATCTTTGAGGAGAAAGAGTGATTTGGAGGAAGTATGTCTAGTGACTGTAAGCCAGAGCTCTAGACTCATCTGTCAAGTGCAAGTCCTGTTTGCCACCGGTAGTGTGTCTTTGAACAGCTACTTACTCTCTCTGAACCACAATTTCTTCATCTGTAAGCGTATAATAATTGTATCTTCCTCAGTGGGTTGATAAAACTATTAAATAAGAAAATATCTTCTAAGTATTTAGGCTAGAGTCTAGCACTTGGTGCTCGATTACTGTTTCAAACCTTTCAAGTGTTAGCAATTGCTGTTTTAAATCTTTCTTCCAAAATTTAGCCTACTGATGGCATGGACCAAACAAATGCATTTGAGCAGGGAAAATCAAATCTGAATTAATCTCAGGTTCCGTTTGTCTTCCTACAAATATATTTTCTTTCAGGAGCAATGAAACATGTAGCAATAAATAAGCAACAGTCTGTTCTTACTGAGAGAGTCTATTTTTGAAAAAAAGGGAACTAGGGAGGCATGTGTTCAGTTTCAGGCCCTGTTCTAACCCTGTGTGTTGGTTCACGTGAAAAATTCTTCCAACCGAGGGAAAAACAGAGTCTCATTACTCTGAAGGCCAGTGATTTTAGGGACACATCTGAATGGGACTTTGATCTTTGACTCTAGCCCCTGTTGATATGGCATTTTAGAGACTTTGGTCTATAGCAAGAAGGTCCCTGGGTGATGCAAATGATTTTCGCTCAACCACCAACCTAAAGGTTGGCAATTTGAACCCATCCAGTAGCACCACAGAAGAAAGGCCTGGAAATCTGCTTCCATAAAAAAATTGCAGCAAGGAAACTCTGTGGAGAAGTTCTACTCTGTAACACATGGGGTTACCATGAGTTGGAATCAACTGGGACAGCAATGGGTTTTTGGTTTTTTGTGGGGTTTTTTTGGCCCATAGCATCATTGCCTTGGTTTCCTCATTTACAAAGCAGGGCCAGTGATAGTGGCCAATCAGAGAATGATGACGCTAGGAGCACAGAGTGTTTCTAGACAACCCCTTGCCCCAGGGGACGTGTTTGTAGAGCCCTCTTCTGCATACCAGGATGACTATGGCAGCGGTCAAGGTACCCATTCAGAAGGTCCATCCAAGGACAGAAGGACAAGGTCAACATTCTTGTCATTTGTTTGTCTCAGAGTATATGAAGACTGTAAATCTGCGACTTCATTGTTTTTTACTTTTATCACTTAGAATGCATCTACTACATTTTGCATTAGAAAAGTTATGGGGGCTTAGCCTGGGAACTAATCACCATTTCTAACATTGTCTCCACAGGAAAAATATTCTTCATGTTTCAAAGAACCCACTTAAAAACTAAAATTTTTGGAACACAAAGTCATTTGTGAGTTAGAGAAGATCATGCTGGAAGATGTTTCACAAGTGAAGACTATTTAAGTGTTACAATAAGATGCCCTGACTTTTGGGGCTTCTGTTCTCTGTTGGCATAACTGTAACTCACCTAACCGCCCGTTATCTGTTTCCTGTTTGCCCCACACTGATTCCCACAGCAGGGGCATGCATGTTTTCAAGTTATCAGTTTGAGATCTTGTACAGAAATGACTCTAAGTTAAAAAATTTAAAAACAACCTCACTGCTTTTCTCACCACTGCTTATAAATCAGGGTTAGCCAGCTAACTCCTTCACTAAATCCACATGACTTCAATTCTGTTCTTTCTCTTCTACAAAAAATTATTAAACAACTTTGGAATTTGGAATTTATGAAGGTAATTCACAGTCCCAAAGTCCTTGAAGATTATTTAGATAATAGCCACCTTATCCCAGAAGGGGATATTCTCTACCCCCTTTGTTCTGCCATCATCACTCAAGGTAGGAGGAAAGAAAGGATGATTGGGGTCAGGCTACAGAGACACAGAGGAAAGGTTAATCAATAGTGAGAGAAAAATGTCCATCTTCTTTTACCTTACTACAGTGTTTAAGTACTCATTATTGTTGGGTGCTGTGGAGTCGATTCTGACTTGTAGTGACCTCATGTGACAGACCTCATACCCCACAGGATTTTCTTGGCTGTAATCACCGGATCTTTCTCCCATGGAGCCACTGGGTGGGTTTGAACTGCCAACCTTTCCATTAGCAGCTGAGTGTTTAACCTTTGCACCATTAGGGTTCCTTTTTAAGTACTTAGTACGTTATTATAAGATAGTGGGATCCAACCTTGGCAAACTTCTAACAGCAGAGGCATTCTAACTGTTCAGCGCTCCCAGGGTACAGTTAATGCTCTCCCACATCATTAGTGCTCCTATTGTTGTCTTTCTGCTTTGGCTAGAAGACTAACCTACCACTCCATTCTTAAACTTAGGGTGAAAGATCTGATCATAGCGGAAGACTATTGGGGATTGACAGGTAATATTACTACAATTGCCAGTGCAGGTGGGGAGCAGCCTTACATACCATCTTCAGTGAATAGAATGCACACTAATTTGATGAAAGTGAAATTAAAATTCTCATTGACTATTCCCATGAAAAGGCAGAACCAAGCAGTTGATTAGAAGTTGTTTTGAGGTCATCCATGGACCCTGAACTTGAGGCATTAATGTCTTAAAACTGCCATATACATGGATTTTGTCATCTTGAATGTTTCTGCCGGGTGTGTGCTGCCCAATGTGACAGTGCACACACAACCCCTGCCAGAGACTGTGGGTCCTCCCAGTGGGCAGGTTGGTCCCACTTCAGGGCTTAGGCATACGCAGGAGAGAGACAAGGGAAGTGATGCTGCTGTTCTTCTCTGGTGGCATGCCATCTATTATTCTGGAAGCAGAAATCAGCTTCTCAAGGCAACCTCCCTTCTTCCCTTTTCTTCTGCAGTCCAGGGTGGAGGGAAAGCATGAGCGTGTGGTGCATTTGATTAGAGCTCACAGCCTTGGTGAATAGGCACTGGTGAAAACACATACAGATTTCTTTCATCGTCAGTGCAAATCCCACGTCAGGAGCCAGACAGGTACATGACTCTCGAAGAGGTCGCGTATTTGGGACCAGTGCCTTGACAACCATAGTGGACCATAGATTCACTTCCTAGTGGAATTGTAGCACTGAAATCAAAGGGGTGTGGACTCTTAGAGGACAGGGATTGTGCATCCCTTTTTCAGAATTAATGAAGAGCAAAGAACAATTAGAAAATCTGATTTATTGCAGTTATCACCTTAGCCAGGTGCCTTGACCATAGTACATACTTTTAAATTTTCATTGAATGAAAAGCAGTGGTTAAGAGCTCAGCTGCTAACCAAAAGTTCGACAATTCTAATCCCCCAGCTACTCCTTGGAATCCCGATGGGGCAGTTTTACTCTGTCCTATAGGGTCACTGTGAGTCAGAATCGACTTGACAACAACTTGGTTTTTTGTGTGTGTGTGTGTGTTTTAATCAAGGTGTGTACTTGGCTGCTGCACATATCTCCAGGGATTAATGTCTACAGTTGAGTCTATCAGACTGAATTTCCTGTGGGTTTCTATATTTTTTTCACTTTAAAGGTGTATTCGTTTCACATGAAGTTAAACTCACGTACCTTTTTTCAGTCGCCTTGCCAGCCAAATAATAAATGCCAACCCAGAGAATGCAGTAACCATGACTGCCACTGGAATGAAGAAGGGGTTATAGTTGCCCTCCTTGATCACTGAGAAACTCCTGTCTGATTCTGAAACAGAAATCACATGAGGCCACAAGCATTATTTCCTTAGTGCCGCCTCATAATATTTGACTTTTGTCCTCCTTAGATCTCCCAAGAATTGTCCATTTGATGCCATTTGACAGATGAGAAAATTGGCATGGGAAGGTCCATGAGTCTGTGCCAGAGGCAAAGACTGGGCCAGCCTCCCTAGCCCAATACCTATACAACATGGATCCCAAGGTTTGTGATACATGAAATTTTTGGGAGATATATCTACAATTCTTGGCAAGAAGTGGTCATCATTGCATTTAGTTCCATGGCTTTGCAGAACGGTTGGGACTCTGAAATACAGCAAAGAGCTAAAAGGTCTGATACAACTTTAGGAAAAATCAAAGTCAGTAATCTGAACCAGGTAACTTGTCAGTTAAAGGAAAGTATGAATGCTTCTATTTTAAAGCAGCTGTTCAAGCAAATAATATACACTTCTTGTTACATGTCAAGGACTACACTAATCAGTCTCTCAAATGATGTATCCTTACTACTTCCCTCCATTTCCTTGACAAATAAGTAAAAAAAAAAAAAAAAAAACCGTTGCCGTCGAGACAGTTCTGACTCGTACCGACCCTACAAGACAGAGTAGAACTGCCCCATAGGATTTCCAAGAAGTGGCTGGTGGATTCCAACTGCCAACCTTTTAGTTAGCAGCTGAGCTCTTAACCACTGCCCCACCAGGGCTCCAGAAATAAGTAAAAGGCTATATTTCAATGGCTCTTGGAAGTAAGTTCATTTGAAGGACTTTATAAAAAAAAAAATCAATATGAAAAACCCACAAAATCTGTCTTCTGATTCCATCAATTGAAGGGACCTACTTTTACATATTGGCACAGGGCCTATGTCCCTTATTCTTCATGTTATTTTGGTGGTCCTTTTAAGTTGCTTCCATCCCTGCACCCAAACATGTAATGGAGAGGAGGCTCAAAATCCCAGAAGATTCAATCAGAAGACACCTATTGGCTGGATGAGGAAATGGATATTCCAAACCAAACTTGTTGTTGTTGAGTCAATTGGGACCATTGTAGCACAAATGGTTTGTGCTCGACCACTAACCTAAAGGTTAGTGGTTTGAACCCACCCAGTGGCATTACAGAATAAAGGTCTGGTGATCTGCTTTCATAAAGATTACAGTCAAGGAAACCCTATGGAGCCGTTCTACTCTGTAACACATGGGGTCGCCATGACAAATAGCTATTAATCAGTTTTAAAAGGAAATATCCCTGATAAACCTGATATACAATCCTCCCCTAGCAATCCTGATGCCTCCTCTCTGCTCCCACATTCCACTCCCTGGCCCTAGACCAAAAGGAGATCAGCTTCTCTGAGAGTTTCTACAGATCTTACCATTTAAAGGCTTTTGCCTTGGCTGCATATGTCTCAAGGGAGGACTTGAGTAGCTATGTTTTCATGTGCTAATTTTATTGTGGTAAATACATACGTAATGAATCATTTGCCATTTCAATATACACATGCTAATTTAATATGCCTTTATTTAGTACCTATTCTCCCACCCCTACCCTCCCCACACTGTGACAGGTGGAGAGTATACAAAGATGAAGAAGATGTAGTCCTTCTCTTGCACATACAGAGTTGGGAAGCATTAGCTTAATGTAATTGAGAAATATCCACTATTTTGGGAATTAGGCAGTCATTAGTGACTTTTGTTGAGGCATTTCAGTGGGATAACAGAGAATTTAGATTGCAGTAGAAGAATAAATAAGAAATGAAGTGGTAGAGACAATGGGTTTAGATTTTAAGAGTTAAGATGTGAAGAGGAGTTGAGAATTGGCCAAAAAAAAAAAGAAAGAAAGAAAGAAATGGCTGTCATTGAAGGAGGAGCATGAACAGTCAAGAACTGCATAGCAAGTTAATGAGTATAAATTTATTTTTAAGCCATATACATTTAGCAAAACAAAATTTAAAAAGTTCAATAGATCTTTCCAGACCATCACTCATCCATCACTTCCATCTTTAAGTCTGCAGTTTATCTGACCAAACTTACTTACTTTGACATATTGGACTAGGGCTGGACCAGATTCCAGATGATCCACAAACAGTTTCTTTCTCCCCAATTAACTTAGTTCCCTCTGAGCAGCTGAAGGTGCATGTGGAGTTAAAGCTGAAGTTAGCCAAGGCATGACTACAGTCCATGGTCCCCCAATCAGGTTCTGCTAGCGGCTCACACTGAATCACTTCGGTGAGAGACGAAAACAAAAAATCAGAATTTCTGAATAGACACACTCCCTTGACCAAAGGTTTTTAGCCAAAACGCCTAACTCAGCTGTGGAACCACTGACATGAACCTTCCAGCAATTCCTTCTGATAATGCTTCCAGACTTTATTTTCTTGAGAATGATGGGGGATGGTAAAACAGAAATGAAGCCAAGAGAGCATCAAAACCTGAGGAGTGGAGGGAGGTGCTGCTCCCTGGGCTGCTATCCCCGCTGTGGTGGGTCTCTACCGGAGTGTCAGGCCATTCAGCCTCTGCTAGAGAGCTCTTAGGGGATATTCTCAGGGAACAGTCTCAGTGAAATAGAGAATTTGCACCCTTTCACACGTTCTGAAGTCTACCAGTGTAGGTTTGTAAAACATCCCAACTCCCTAAAACATGTCAGTCAACTTCTATAAAATTCAGCAGGTTGAATTAGTTCTATGAGTTAAATAAAGAATTTTGATAGTTCTTTTGAGAACTAAATCACTTAAATTGGTGAGTCAGGAGTTTGAGTGTAGGAAGTGTAACCAAATCTTCAAAAGTCCAGTTTTCTCCCATACAAGAATAATCCTTTTTGAAGAAGGAAAAAACCAAACATACATATTTCAAATAAAAAAAAAAAAGGATTAAAAGATTGCATTTTTGTTTTTCAAAGCAGTTGTTATTCTGCCTAGGAGGAAAAGTAAAATATGGCTTCAAGAATCAAATATAACAATCAAAAAAGACCTCTGTTCCCTGAGGAGGAAATTGGTTGCTGTTAAGTAGGACATCACATAAAGCAGGTGTTATTGAGTGGAGAAGGAAGCCAAAGTTAAACAGATTCAGCAAGAATGATTATGTATGCCATGGCAATGAAAAAAGAAAAGGAAAAATAAAGCTTAACCTCGCTGCATTGCTGTAACTTGCTTACACTGCAAGATAGCTTCAGAGGTAAAAGGATATTTGGTTGCTATTTTTTGTTTGCAGTTTCTTTTTTAACTTTAGTAACAATAACGCATCTGGGAAGCATCAGAGTATAATTTAATTTAGGTTAAATTATGCTCCGGAAGAGTATACAGACTTCTTAGCAAGACTCTGCTGTATTTTCTCAGACTGTAAACACACGACCTCCATTACAAAGCCTCTAGTCTGAACAGTTACTCACCTTGACAGGATGGTTCCAGAGATGACCAGTTTCCAAATGCTCCACAAGTGGTTTCTTCAATCCCAATTAAGTCTGTTCCCTCAGAGCAATTGAAGGCACACTGTGAACTGAAGCTGAAGCCTCCCAAAGGGTGAGTACAGGCCATGGTACCAAGCTCTGGGGCCTTCAAAGGCTTACACTGAACCACTTCAATGAGAAAAGAAATAGTCTCAGGTAGTGTTAAGAGGACCTGATACCTGGGTTTGAATCCTAGCTCTGCCACTTGATAACCATGTGTCCGGACGCAAAGCTACTTAACCCCTCCAGCTTCAATTTCTTCATCTATAAAAGAAGGATGATGATAATTGTACCAGCTTCATATAATTGGCATGGGAATGAAGGATTTAATGCAAGTCAAGGACTTAAAACAGAGCCTAGCTCATAGGAGTCCTAATTAAACCTGATCTAGTCTTATTCCTATCTTTGGTATTATCTGAAGAAAGAATTCTTAAACTCACGTAGGTTTGCATGGGAATGACCAACTCAGCTTTGGAAATAACTATCATAGTGGAACTCCTAAGTATGCTAGAGTATGGAGAGTATGGAGAAAGAGTAGTCCTTATAATCAGTCTTCTTTACAAGGGAATAAGACATAAGCCTCAGCAAGCATCTTGGCCTCGATTCTGTCTTTACCCTCTCTAGGTCAGTTCTGGAACTTTAGCTCTTCCAATTTGGACAATCCTCTCCAGAAACTGTACTCATTGTCTTTCTCTGATCTGTGGTCCAGTAGATCAAATTAAGACTTGGAAATTAAAGTTTTTGAGTTTAGACCTGCCATGTTATTTGGGCAAATATTCTAATCTAAAACTTGTGTTTTATTTTTTATCTACCAAATTTTAACCATTGTTCTGACCTTGCTCTTCAGGTTTCAATGAAGAAGGGACTCTAGGAATTAGAATTTTCACATTCCACCTACAGTACAAGTCCAAATTAGATTACATTGTCCAGTTCAATTCAGACCCACAAACAAGTGCCTGATATATTCCAAGCATAATGCTGAGTCTACAGATGCAATAATAGGAGAGTTACTGATCTCAAGGAACTGTCAGTCTACCAGGGCAGACAGACAAGTAAACAGGTGACTTCAATCAAAATGGGATGAACAAGAAAGAAATATATGAAGCTATGGGAAAACAGAATAGGGACACTTAGCCTATCTTGGGGTCCGGTGAAAACTTTCTGGAAGAAATGGTCCCTGAAGTATGGCTTAAAGATGAACAAGTGTGTTAGCCATTTGCAGAATGAAAGAGAAGGCCAGGAGCAAAGTCAATGAGATACAAAGCAGCATATAGTAAGTGTAGAGAACTACAAGAAGTTTGATGTTACCACAGAGAAAGGAGAGTCAGGGAATGAGGTGAGACAAGATTAGGAAGAAAGAAGACCAGACAAAATGCTCTTATATTTTTTCATTGATTTATTGAGTACCTACTATATATCAAGCATTACTCTTGGCCTTGAGGAGCTTAGATTTCATCTCATAGGACAAATGATGGTTAGAAATTAAAGGGTGGAAGGTCACATTTGTGTGGTGTTGTTTGATTGTTTTTAATTGATCAGTCTTCCTGCAGTACGAATAATGTATTTTAGGGGAACCAAGTTAAAGTTGTGGAACACAGCTAGAAAACTACTCCAATAGTCCAGAAGAAAGATAACGAGGGCAATAGTAGTAGAGATGGCAAGTGGGAGAAAATTTGGACAAATAATAAGCTATAAAAATTAGTACTATGGTGCCTTGCATAAATGTAAAGGGAAGTGAGTCTCACACCAGGGTGCCCATGTTAAAGGTGGTACCAAATACTAAGGTAAGAATACAACAAGGAAACATGGTTGGAGACAATTGATTTTACAAAGTCTTTCAGGCATCCTGAAGGATATTTTTAGCATATTTGGAGTTCAGATCTGGAGACACAGATTTGTTAGTCTTAAACTCATGTAGATTTGTGAGTCCACTAGAATTGGCAAGTTGACTAAACAGGGCATGTAGAGTCAAAAGAGTAAAGGACAATAGACAGCAGCTGAGAAAGCAATAGTTAATGTGCTTAAGTGCCCGTGAAGAAACTGTAGGAAACAAGTAGGAAAACCACCGAGAAAGGGTGATATGACAGAAGTTAAGACAAAAAAATAAGTAAATGTTCAAAAAGAGGTGAAATGGGTATGCCAATGATATAGAGATTTAAAAAAAAAAAGTTCATGAATGGGGTGAGGGTAAAGTATTGGTTAGGAGTCATGGCTCAGGGATGGAGTAAATCGAGTTAGATCTATTCCAGTGGTTGGCATTTAAATTCATATCGACTTTCTTCATCTATTCTTCACAAACATTGCTTTTTTCTTTTTATAATTTTCTCTTTTGTGCATCAGATACTTCACACGTATAGTTTTGAAACTCAACAACCAACATCAATCAAAGGAATCAATGTTTCTTTCAGCAGTGAGTTGACTGGGTCAAAGACTCGGTGACTTTGAATCTGTGTATTTTCTCCTTTACATTTCCACCAAGACGACTCTAAATCATTACAGTCGACTCCTAATGATTCTCCATCTTCTCTCTCTCTGCTCTCCAATGCACCTTATGCACTGTTTCTAGGAAAATGCCCTAAAAGCAGGTGTTAAGACACTGAGGAGCCTCCCATTGTCAAATAAAGGCCAGATTTCTTCATTAAGGAGTCTCCAGTCTCCCCAAGCTTATTCCAGCTTATCTTACTTTCCATCAAATTCAATTATGAGCATATATAATTTCCACTAGCTAATTGTAAATCCCTTAAGGACAGAATCTATATTAGATTTATCTTGGTATCTCCTGAAATACCCATCTCAAGCAAGTTTGTTGAGTTTATTATTATATATCTCTGACATATACCATGTACCATTATATGAACTTTTCTTTTTGGTCTTACCCTGTGATGACTTTGAAGGTTATATTAAAAAAAAAAAAAGGCAATGTTATCTTCTGGGTAACCTACCCTCTGTTATGGATTGAACTGTGTTCCCCTAAAATATGTATTGAATTCCTAGCTGTTGTATCTGTGAATGTGATCCTATTTGGAAATAAGTTTTTTTTTTTTTTTTTTTTGCTGCGTTAATTAGGCCACATCAGCATAGGGTGAATCCTAAACCTAATCACTTCTGAATTATAAAAAGACCAGAATAGACACAGAGACACACACAAGGGGAAGACAGACACCAAGGAACACCAAAGATCACCAGTAGACACCAGAAACTTGGAGAGAGGCTAACGAAAGTAACACAGCCGAGACCCTGATTTGCCCTTTTAGCTTCCAGAACTGAGAAAATAAATTTCTGTTCTTATAAGCCACCCAATTTGTGGTAATTCTGTTACAGCAGCACTAGGTAAATAATAAATAGTATGGTTTATTTCAGACTTTAGAACTCTAATTAATCCAACAAGCTCATGAGATTGTGAGCTCCTCAAGAGCAGGAATCTAGTGTCTCTGATTCATTATTGTAACTTACTGTATTTATCCCAACACCATATTCTTTGTGGGTGCGCAGAAAGGCTTGTTGAAAAATGAGTCGAAACTTCATGCTGAATGTTGTGGATTGAATTGTGTCCCCCCAAATTGTGCATCAACTTGGCTAGGCCGTGATTCCCAGTATTGTGTGGTTGTCCACCATTTTGTGATCTGATGTAATTTACCTATGTGTTGTAAATCCTAACTTCTATGATGTTAATGAGGCAGGATTAGGGGCAGTTATGTTAATGAGGCAGGACACAATCTACAGGATTAGGTTGTATCTTGAGTCAGTCTCTTTTGAGATATAAAAGAGAGAAGTGAGCAAAGTGGAGAGGGACCTCATGTCATCAAGAAAGAAGCCCCGGGAGCAGAGTGTGTCCTTTGGACCTCAGGTCCCTGTGTTGAAAATCTCCTAGACCAGGGGAAAATTGATGACAAGGACCTTTCCCCAGATCCAATAGGGAGAGAAAGACTTCCCCTGGAGCTGGTGCCCTGAATTCAGACTTCTAGCCTTCTAAACTGTGAGAGAATGAACTTCTGTTTGTTAAAGCCATCCACTTGGGGTATTTCTGTTTTAGCAGCACTGGATAACTAAGACTCTGAATTACAAAATCTTTACTGAAAAGTAAAAACATTGTGAAAGTATAGTTTTCTGACTGAAACTTTCCATTTCTCAGAATGGCTACTATCATTTTGTCCCAACCAACTTCCATAAACTATAATAACTTCTGTGACTCTATACAGGAAGTAACCAAAAAAGGAAAAGGGCTTACCAAACTGACACTGGGGCCCATAGTACCCCATATTGCAGTTGCAGGTGTAATTATTGATGTTTTCCACACATTCCCCGTGGCCACTGCATGACCAGGGCAGGCAAGAAGCTTTAAGGAAGTCAGAAAAACATTTATTTTAATATGATTACTTTTTAGTACTCCTAGTCATTTCTTTAGACATAGATAACTTTTTGTCTGAGACTAGTTTAACAAACATGTAAAGTTTATTTTTATATTCATAGCATCTTTGCATAAAAATCATATGGTAAGATTTTTTATTTATGTAGCATATTAGCCAAATAGCCATAGCCATTTGTTTGCAATCATAATGAGCTTACCAATAGCAACAAGGGAAACTTAGCGGCATTCATTGAAACTCTTGAAATTACTTTTTATTGTAATAAGTAGGTTAAATGATGCCCTGACCCCAATCATTTCTGTAGTATGCTTGGCAATCCTTTTCTTTATAGAAAGTAGTAAGATTAAAATTAAAAAATTCCAAACTTGCTAAAATTAGCAGAGTCCAATTTACCGAAGACCAAATGGCCTGTGCTTCACTGTTAAATATGACTGGGAAAATTCTGTTTTGGAATAGTTATAATGGTTTTTACAGTTTTCACACACCCCAGAGAGTGTGATGTTTCATCATTACAGAATTAGATAGGACTATAAAGAATATATATAGAATTATATAAGGAAGGAAACACATGGCACCTAACCCATTGCTGTCGAGTCGATATGACTGCCCCATAGGGTCTCCAAGGCTGTGATCTTTACAAAAGCAGATTGCCACATCTCTCTCCCACAGAGTGGCTGATGGGTTCAAACCGCTGACCTTTTGGTTAGCAGCCAAGTGCTTTAACCACTGTGCCACCAGGGCTCCTTATGTGGCACGGAGTTCCCTATTTTACAATGAGGAAACCGGTGATGTGAGCCTAAGATATCAATTACCTTCATCTCTCTACTTCTGCTCCCCTGCCTTGGTATCAGGGCAGCGGGTATCTAGCTTTTCCTCTTTACTTTCCACATATACTTATCATTTTCATGTATCTTGATTTAGGGGAATAGTTTTAGGGTATAGAGATAAGTCTCAAACACCAAAATTGCTCAGAAGTGACATGATTCAAGCTTCCTTGGAGGATCAGAAGTATTTTCGAATGAGCTAACAACTTGTTCTATTCCCCAGCATTCCTGAGTCCCAGTAGCATAGCAGTCTGGTCACTCCCTACCTGTGTAACAGAGGGCTGTCTTTTGCTTGTAGCAGGCATCATCATTCCACTTTCCTGCGTCTTTGGGCCTCTTGATATAGATCTCCACACAGTCCTCCTTGGACTTCTTGTTGTTTGGCTCCCCGTCTCCCCAGTTCTCCGCTTCTTCAGTGAGAGACTTGTTGGTTCCCACCCAAGTCCATACCCCACCTATCTTCCGGATTCCTATCCAGTAGTAAGTACTTTTGAAGGGAAGCATATTCTCCAGGTACTCAATTTCCCGCTTGTTTTGTATGGCAATTAAATCCGTGTAATTTTCTTGGCAGAACCTTCTAGCCTTTGCCCAGTTCATGGGCATTTCAGAATAATGATAAGTCCAGCAGTCGGTTCCATGACGCCCCATGAAATCTGAAAGATGACAACGTAAACCATATAGACTCACATAATGTTACAGCTGAAAGAAACAAGGGCTCATCCAGGCAGAGCCTCCAGCTTAGAGATGAGGAAACAGACCTGGAGAACATCTGGGACCTGCTCAGAGTCTCAGAACCGTTGGTTGCAGATTTGAAGTAGAACTTAAAGACCTTCTGGTTTTATACTGCTCTTACTCTCATAACTCTATTTTAGACAAATTTGGTGGCTTTCTCAGATTTATTTTCATAAAATATTTTTTTCTCAAAATTCAAGTGAAATTTAACCAACAAATTTCAGAAGCTTGCATTTCTTTTGCCTGGTGGTTGTCAATCATTTAAAACTAACTATAATATCATATAACTTTGAAAAATTTACAACCCTTTTTTTTTATCCCAGGATAATTTCCTATAGGCCAAACATTTAAGTGGCTAAGAGAGAAGCAAAATAAGGACAGGAATAACAATGACATATCTTTAAGTAGTCTCTTTCAGATTAAAAAGATAATATTTACCAAAGGAAGCTCTGACTCTGATAAAGCCTCAGTACAGAGCCTTACATATCTAATTGCACAATAAGAAAAGAACGACTTATAAAATTAAATGATGTAGGATTCTGAAATTGATTAGACCATGCTCTGCACACAAAGACACTCAACTGATGATGTTTAGTAAATCACATGCATGCTTCAAATATGAGAGCTTAGAAGAAAACTAACAAACACAAGTACACAATGACCCCACAATAATATATACCATTCTAAGCATGGTATGATCTATATCTATGTGAAACACTATTATACAGTAAGGTAAAAGTTTTCACAGCCATCAACATTTGTTGAGTTTTCACAACATGTAGGGCAAGTACCAAAGAGAAATACCAAAGAAAACAATTCAATTCTCACAGTCTCCTAAAATTTACTAACAAGGAATAACTGAGACAAAGAAAATATAATTAATCTTGATCAAATTAAATATATCAGATATGAACAGAAAGCTGGTAAACAGGGATGCTTCATGGGTAAAGAACATCATAAAATACATGTTTCAAACAGCTATTTTAAAGAAGCATTCTGTAAGAGTGTAAGTTCCAAAAGGGAAGTAACTGCTCTGTTCACGGCTGCATCTTCGGTGCCTAGAACAGTGCTTGGCACATTGGAGAGACTCAGTTAATACATGTTGGATAAAACGAAAACTGGGTGCCACAGGCAGATGTGGTATAAGGAGTATGTTTTGTGAGGGGCAGAGTAGATATGTTTGTTTAGTCAGAGTTGAGAATCTGAGCTAAGGAGTAAGAAGACATTAGCTTACTTAGGAAATGGGAAAGAAGATTCAAAGCAATTGCTGAAGAGTCTTCAAAAATCAGACAAGAAACTTGTCACATCAGTGGGAGAAGGACAAAACAAACAAAAACAAAGAAACAAAAAAGAACTATAAGCCATGGCCCCTGCCCTCAAGAAACTCACAGTTTAGTTGTAGAAATGGTATCAGTGTATACTGAACCATTAATAAAAAATAGAAAGCAGAGTGCTAAATACTTGGTACAGATTTTAAGTGCCTTAGTAGGTATTTCTTAATTGACTTTATTCCTTCATAACTGAAGACTTCTGAGGGATTATCAGGATTTGGCCTATGCAGCAAGGAGTGTGGCAAGTAAAGATAGGGTGGTGGTTGTTGTTAGTTGCCATAGTCGATTCCGACTCCTGGTGACCACATGTGTGCAGAATAGAACTGCTCCATAGGGGTTTCAAGCTGTAACCTTTTGGAAGCAGAGTGCCAGGCCTGGGTGGGTTCAAACCACCAACCTTTCAGCTAGTAGTCAAGTGCTTAATTGTTTGCACCACCCAGGGACTCCTAAGATAAGCTTAGGATTCTGGGAAAGTACTAAAGGTAAGAGGGAGAAAAGACACACTCATAGAAAGGGTAGAATTAACAGCTGTGTACCTAATAATTTTCCCTGAGGCTATCTACACCCAGTGCGATTTAAGAAAAATGAGCACAAGTGAAAAAGATTTAGCAACGTGCAAGTGTCATAATATACCGCAATAGAGCACCGTCCAGACCCATAGCTTGAAGATGTTCCACAAGCCCCTCTGAGGACTCTGACATTTCCTCAGCAATATCTGCAAATAAAGTATAAAATTGCATTGAAATTTATACTCTTAAACCACAAGTTTCCAGCACCTTGAGGAGGTGCCTGCAAGTGTCTTAAAGCTCAAAATAAAACACATACGTGTGCTAAGCAGGTCTGAGGTAACAGATTTCTCAGACATGGTGTGAAAAAGTAGCTTTGAAAATTTGCCACAAAACTGATCCACCTTCTTTTTTTTTAGTCTCAAGTTGCTGATCATTTTTCCCTTACATTTCAGTAATTTTTTTCTACCTACTTTTCTGCTGAGCTGTTAGATCAAACTATTTGATATTTAGTATACATCTCTTTAAAGTGTTCTTTGGTGCTTAACTGACCTAATGATGTCTAGACTTAATGCTATAACCTCATGCTTAATTATGCTGGGTCACTGCCACAAATACCTAAAGGAATTAGTTAGTCAAACAGATACCAGTAAAGAAAAGCAGTTCATTTTTTTTCAAATAAAAAGAAATGTATTTCGAACAACTCAAATAACAAGACCACGAATTTTTTGCAGACCTTAAAAACCGTATTTTCTGAAGCATATTATTTCTCAGATAACCACAGTGTTTAGTTGCAAAAGTGCTAATTGCAACAAGATAGCACTTATTCAAGCGAGAATCTCATGAGAGACAAAGCCAAGGAGAGGAAATCAGCTTATCTGAGAGGATAGATTCTAGGATCACCCTGAGACTCTGAGAGCATTCTCAGGTTTTTTGTTTCTAACAAAAATGATATGTATTACTTCTTGCCCTTTGCCACCTGCCTCTGCAATCCCAAGGAAGAGCTCGATCTGAGCAGTTGGGACTCTTTCAGGCTGACAGGCTTACCATGGCTTTGCTGGGCACCTCCCGGGTTCTTCAGCTTAGCCTCTCCACTCAGCAGCGGGGGTCTCTGGTCCTTGCCTAAGGCAAGCTGCCTGTGCTGCACGCAGACTTTACTGAGTGTCACCAGGAAGGTTTGCTTTCTTTTATTTCTCTATCCAAGTCTCACATTCTCCTCCTCCTCTCCTTCCCCTCCCCTTCCTCCTCCTCTTCTCTCTCCTTTTTCCCCACCCCTTTCTTAGCTTGATGGCACATTGATTAAGAGCTTGCTGCTAACCAAAAGGTCGGCAGTTCAAATCCACCAGCTGTTCCTTGGAAACCCTATGGGGCAGTTCTATTCTGTTCTATAGGGTTGCTGTGAGTTGAAATCTACTCAATGGCAATGGGTTTTCTTAGCTTGACCTCTATCACCTACCCTGAGAGAAATGAGTCTCTGAGCTGACATGGAGGGTATTAATTGTTGGATTCTCCCTTTCTTCTTTCCTTTCATCCTTTTCCTTTCTTCTTTCCTTCTTTCTTTCTTCCCTTCCGTCCTTCTTCTTCTTCTCTCTCTCTCTTTCTTCCTTTCTCTCTCTCTCACTTTCCTTTTGTTTTGATAATCACTAGACAAACCCTTGGCTATCCATGGTAAGGGTCCTGATAATTGCAAACATCACACAATCAACCATATTTCAGACAAACGAAGGATGTCTGCCAAACTTCAGTAGAGCTCACTGTCAGACGTGATTCATTTCAGTTCCTTCTTCTCCCTCTTTCCTTGCTCACCCCCTGGTGGAGATTCTTGTTAACGGCACTTCACTTCCTAAGGTTAAGTCCTGAGGAGAGCTAAACTAGCTTTCTGCCCTAGGGGAACTTGGGGATTTACAAGTTCTTTTATACTTCTGGAGTATAAACTGTGAGAGAATAAGACTGCATATAAAATTAAGATCCATATGATGAAGATCAATGGAAAGGAATTGAGAATTTTGAGGAAGAGTAACTTCTGGACTGCCAGAACAAACAAGCCTATTCTGGAAGAAGTACAGCCGGAGTGTTCCTTAGAAGCTAGGATGGCGAGTCTTGTCTCACCTACTTTGGACATGTTATCAGAAAGGACCAGTCCCTGGAAAAGGACATCATGCTTGGTAAGGTAGTGGGTCAGCAAAAAAGAGGAAGATCCTCAAGGAGATGGATTGACACAGTGGCTACAATAATGGGCTCAAACATAGCAACGATTGTGAGGATGGTGCAGGACCAGGCAACGTTTAATTCGCTGAGTCAAAACCAATTCGACGACACCTAACAACAACAACAACTGACATTTACAGCTAAGCACTCCGTATTTTTTACATTGTTCAGTCTTTATAACAGCACTTCATAGTAGATACTATTATTATCAACGTTTTAAAGAATCTTAGAGAGGTTACGAAAGTTGCCTTAGTCACACTGATGGGAAGAGACATGGCTGGGGTTTTGAACCCAGGCCAGTCATTTCTAAAGCCTGTGCTCTAGATCATCAAACTGCACTTCTGGAGGACCTCGGATGACATGCTGAAGTGAGGACAAAACCAGAGCTAGGGAGACCAGTGAAGTGCTAGTGTACTTCCCGTTCCAGTTGCCATCGAGTCAATTCTGACTCAGTCACCCTATAGGACGGAGTAGAACTGCCCCATAGAGTTTCCAAGGCTGTAATCTTCATGGAAGCTGACTGCCTCATCTTTCTCTCATGGAGCAGCTGGTGGGTTTGAACTGCCGAGCGCTTAACCACTGTGCCACCAGAGCTTCTCTAATGTGCTTACTCTACCCCAAAGGAAATATCTAGACTAAATCTTCTCTGCCAATTCACTCTTCAACTTTGTCCAATCAGGCTTCCAACCACACAATTTCACAGAAACTTCTCTTGCCAAGGTTCTCCACTTTGCTAAAGCCAACAACCAATTTTATCCTATTTGACCAGTTAGCAGCACTTGGCACAGCTGAAACCCTTTTTCCTTGGCTTCCAGGATACCACACACTCCTGACTGTCCTCCTATCTCCCTGGCTATTCTTTCACTGTTTCAGTTGTTGATTCTCCGTCATCTCTCCAACCTCCAAACCTTTGGAATGCTCCAGTGCCCGGTGCTTTGCTCTTCTCTATCTGCTCTCACTGTCTACACCATCCAATCCAATCTCTTTACTTTGAGTACCATCTTTATTAGCTTCCTAGGGCTCTCACGACTGAATACCGCAAACCTGGTGGCTTATATGAACAGAAATTTATTTTCTCATGGTTCTGGAGGCTAGGAATTCGAGATTAGGGTGTGAGCTGTGTTTATTCCTCCTGAGGTTTTGAGGAAGAATCTGTTCCATGCCTCTCTCTTGGCTTCTGGTAGCTCCAGGCATCAGTTTCTGGACTTGGAGCTGCAGTTACATGGCCGTCCTTCCTCTGTCTCTGTCTCTGTGTATTTCTCCTCTTTTATAAACATACCACTCATATAGCATTAGGACGCACACTACTCCAGCATGACATCATGTTAACCTAACTGATAACATCTTCCTTCAAGGACCCTATTTTCAACAAGGTCACATTCACCGGTACCAGGGTTAGAATTTCAGCATATCTTTTTGGGGGGACACAATTCAATCCATAAAACCAATTGTTATGGGTTGAATTATGTCCTGCAAAAGCAAAATGTGTGTTGGAGTCCTGAGTCCTCATATCTGTAGATGTAATCCTTTCTGGGAATAGGGTTTCTTTGTTATGTTAATAAAGCCTCATCAGTGTAACTAAGAATCCTCTTTTTCTCACAACTCATGTCCAGTCAGCAAATTTTGCTGGCTTTGCCTTCAAAATTTTCTTAGCATTCAGTCACTTCTACTCATTTATGCATTCAAAGCACTGTCACGTCTTATCTACATTATTGCAAAAACCTCCTAAGTTCTACCTTTCTGCCCTTGCCCACCCCCTCACCATGGCCTGTTTTCAACAAACAACCTAAGTGATTCAGTTAAAATGTATATCTTTCAGGGAACCAACTAGAAATAGAATTTGCCCCAGATGGTTCAATTGAAGATCCTTTAATGGAGGAACCACTTGCAGACACTAGGCAAGGTAAGAGAACAAACAAGAGAAAATGAGGCATCCAGAGACTAACAGTAGTTGGAAGCTGTTGCCACCCTGGGCTGGAGATTCAAGGGGAGGAAACAATGTTACCCAATGAGAGCCGCACCTCTAGAGGAGGAACCACCCACCAGGAGCTGTAGTGGAAGAGGTTGCAGCTACTCCCAGACACAGAGGACCAAAACAGGAATCCAGTGCGTAGGAAATGCTGGACCTAGCTCTCCTCTCACTCTGTGATCTCCTTAGGGTGTCTTTTATTGATCAAACCAACCACCAGTGATCAGATGACACAGAGCAGGGAAGGGTAAGAGTGAATGATGGGTAAGAGTAAATGATCGGTAACGTGGAAGGGTGTCAAACAGAAGAAAGCAAGCAAAAAATAACACAAGTCAGACCACATCACTCCTCTGCTCAGAACCCTCCATTGCTCTTCATCTCACTCAGAGTGAAATTGAAAGTCCTTACACTAGCTTACAAGGAATTTCATGACCTGGCCCCTGCTCCCTAATCATTTTTGTCCTCTGAGATTACCATTATTTTTTTAAAGCTCAGCTATTCATTTACAATAAATTATTATAATTGACCTAGCAATTCTAAGTATTATAGTGATGAGGTTTTCAGAATATCAGTACTCTGTATTCCCTGTTTCTTAGAAGCGAGGGTGGTGAGCCTTCGTTCGGCTCGCTTACTTTGGACACGTCATCAGGAAAGACCAATCATTAGAAAAAGACATCATGTTCGGTAAAGCAGAAGGTCAGCAAAAAAGACAGAAAACACTCCATAAGATGGATTGACACAATATTCACAACAATGAACTCAAACATACCAAGATCATGAAGATGGCACAGGACTTGGCAACATTTTGTTCTATTATACCATGAGTCGAAGCCAACTTACTGGCCACTAACAACATTTCCAGAGGAGACCCTCGGTGGTGCAAATGCTTAATACACTTCTCTGCTAACTGAAAGGCTGGAGGTTCAGGTCCTATATATATTCAGGAGCCCTGGTGGTGCAGTGGTTAAGCACTCAGATGCTAAGCAAAAGGCCAGCAGTTCAAAGTGGTTAACCGCTGCACCACCAGGGCTTCTTAATACACCCTCTCCTCACTTATGGACATGGGTGGGTTCAAAAGACCAGTTCATTATGCAGAATTGATGTTATGCAAAAATAGAGGAAGACCACATCAGATCACAAAATGGAGGATGATTACATCATTACATAACTGCCAACCACTGAGAATCATGGCTCAGCCAACTTGATACATAACCTTAAACATCAAAGCCAGCACCTCAGCATTCGTTACTGCCAGACGTATGTTGTTAATGCACAAAATAGTCAGATAGTAGATTAACGCAAAGTGTTAGATAACAAGGTAGTTGATAAGTGGGGAGAAAGTGTATATATACATAATACATACATATATACATATACATACATACGTATATATACATATATACATGTTGTTGCTAGGTGTCATCAGGTTGGTTCAAACTCATAGTGACCAGAACACCAGAACAAAACACTGCCCCATCCTGTGTCATCCTTACAATCATTGCCATGCTTGTGCCCGTCATTGCAGCCACTGTGTCAATCCATCTCATTGAGAGACTTCCTCTTCTTTGCTGACCCTCTACTTTACCAACCATGATGTCCTTCTCCAGGGACTGGTCCCTCCAGACAACATGTCCGAAGTACTTGAGACGAGGTCTCACCATCCTCACTTCTAAAGAAACATTCTGGCTGCACTTCCTCCAAGACAGATTTGTTCATTCTTCTGGCAGTCCATGGTATATTCAATATTCTTTGCCAACATCATAATCCAAAGGCATCAATTCTTCTTCAGTCTTCCTTATTCATTGTCCAGCTTTCTTACGCATAACAGGCAGTTGAAACTACCATGGCTTTGGTCAGGTGCACCCTTGTCCTCAAAGTGACGTCTTTGCTTTTTAATACTTTAATGAGGTCTTTTGCAGCAAATTTGTCCAAGGCAACATGTTGTTTGATTTCTTGACTGCTGCTTTCATGGGTGTTGATTGTAGATCCAAGTAAAATGAAGTCCTTGACAACTTC